TTCGAGAGAAGCTGCCGTTGGATCTAAAGTGATCCAGTTCACTGAGAAACAGAGCCTGTTGGACGATGAATATCAATTGTATGTTGCGAGCATTGTGAATGATTTTCCAGTGTCCAACGATGTCCTTTTGTGGCTGAGCCTCCCTTGCACGGGGGGCACCTCATGGTCCCATGTGAATCTCAAAATTCCTAGTGCTGCCAAAAAGGTTCTGAGGCATGTCAAGACAATGAAGTTTATCCAATTGCTATCAAGAAGTTTTGACATTGCAATTGAATGGCCTCAAAATTGTCGGTACTGGAGATTCCCAAGAGTTATGAAGTTCATGAATGTGTACTCGATGAGAAGATATGATTTTCATGGATGTATGCTCGAGACTGTTGACCATGAGGGAACACCAATCAGGAAGCCCTGGACTATACAATGCATGAAATTGGTTTAGATTTTTCACAAGACCAATGCGACGAGTCACATGAACACGTGCAAGGGAGAGGAAAGCCACTCAAAGAAACTGAGAACTATTCTTTCCAATTTACTGATTGCGTGCATCAAGCTTTCAACCGGGCAGCCCGCTCTGCTCGAAAATTCGCTTTTGCTGTTCCGACCTCGTTCGTCGTGCCTGTCTTGCCTGTGACGATGGCTTCTACGTCTACTCCTGTGGATTTTGGTGGACGAAGCCTTCCGGAAGGACGAAGCCTTCCGGAAGGACGGCCGGGTACTGAACATGCCTTTTAGCGTCAAGATGCCAACTTTCAGGTCGAACAAATCCCGCCTGAGTTCCGGATGACGATCTATGAGAGAGTTGTCCAATGGGAACGTTGCTTGGCCGGGATCCGTGGAAGTTGCATTGCATGCGTGTTCCCGGATGGCTATGAAGGAGCAAACAAAATGGTTCTGGCCAAGTCCCAGTTGGGGACGTCATCGATGCCTTGGTGGGCGCCGACAGCAGGCAAACTCAGAAGACGTACCAGGACATTGTCAACGTTGTCCGTGACATTCCATGACCACCCCACGACCTGCTCGCGCCTGGCGTTTGGAGAGCTCTTGCAATCCAAGGAGTACGCCCTCAAGCTGATACGGTCAGTCTACTCAAGACTGAAATGGGGGAAGGGTTTGTCAGCCATCAGTCATCAGATTTGGGAGCTGATGGAAAAAGTGGAAAGAGAGAACAGGTTGCAAGGCCGCCCATGCTTGTGGTGGTAGGTTGGGCAGGCAACGATGTCCGTGGTGACTACGGATACAGTATCAAGGATGATTCTGGATCCACTCTGCCAACCTCACCAGATCAGACGCCGACCGGAAGGTCGCTGCCGACTATGTCGAGAAGCAATACCAGAAGGTCATGAAGTCTTTGGAGGGCTTGGTGGAGATCAAGAACGATCCAAGAATCCTTTTCGTGCGAGTCATCGGGAACGGTGGCCATTCTGGCTACTCTTTGCCGTCGTACAACAAGGAGATGGGGAAGCACATGATCTGGCTTGCGGAACGTGGCATCCAGGGAGTGTGCTCCACTATGTTGGCGACCGTTGGCAAGTACGACAATTTCCACTTGCACGACCATCAGTTCAACAGAAAGCTCGTCTATCGCTTCCTCCGAGGTGCCATTGCGTTTCACTTGAAGTACATCGAGGTGATGACGAAGAAAGATGAGTTGCGAGACTATGCAGCCAGGAACGATCAAGACCGTCTGGCGGCGGTGTGTCTCTTCCCAACAATGGTGCAATTCCGATTGGCCTTGTCGCGAACCCAAGAAGTCATGCAAGCCTTCACCCCTGAGCAGAAAACCGCCACTCCGGCACAGGTGTTTGATCAGGCGGACGAGGAGATCCTTATGCGGGTCCATGCAGGCATCTTGGAAGTGCAAGAGGAAGCCACCCAGGAGGGTCGGCCGAAACCCACTGACTTCCTACAGGGCCATTCGCCCACAAAAAGTAGGACCCAGCTGACCATGGAATCCAAAAGGTTTGGCCATATGATTTTTTCACGGCCTAATGGTTTCCACGCAAGTTTTCACGCCAAGAATTGGTACAACCTGTGTTTTCACGCAGCCTCACATTGTGGCCTGCTCCGCTGCTATCGAGCTATTTTTCTCACGCGCTCCCTCTCTTTGCTGCAGGGACAGCGGATGTCACATTTATTCCATGCTATTGCCTATTTTTCACAGTGGCTACAGTTTGCAGCAGGCATCCATGCTTGAGCCAAATTTTCTACAGAAATAAGATCGCAACTAGATAAATTGACCACGAAGCCTGAAGAGTTGCCTCCATTGGTCCGCAAGAGGGAAGGCCAGAACGGCCCATTCAGTGACCAGATCACCCTGAAGTCGGCTTTCTTTGGGGTTCTTTCCACCGCCGAAACGATCCGAAAAGGCAAAGGCAAGGGTCGTGGCAAAGGAAAGGGGAAAGGACGACACCCGGGAGGGTCGGCCACTGGTTCCACAAATGCGGAGGATTGATTACATCTTCAGCAACAATGTTGAAACACAACAGGTGATGTGCCACTTCTGCCAAGAGTACGATGTGGAGGGCACACACGAATGCCAGTCGTGTTTCAAATGGCTCATCGCATGGTCGGATGGACGCATTGCCACAGAGGTATGCCGGATGGAAATCGTGGCCAAGAAAACCAACAAGGTCTTTGCTCTCGACAAAATCGACTTCGAGAAGCAACCTCGCAGTCAGAGAGTTTCAGACCGCACCAGAGCCGACCAAAGACGTGCAGGGCGCAGCAACTTCGGCAACTTGAAGGACGCGGCCCAGAAGCATGCGGGCAGGTACGGGAAGATGGGGTTTGCATACATTCAGGATCGAATGGAAAAAGGTCCTTACTATCTTTTCAACAGCACTACCGCCAGATTATGGCCGACTGTTGCCTGTTTTTGGAAGATCTCGCGCAGTGCATTTCCCCTGATATGGGGCGTATGAGAGAGAAGCGTGAGAAGCAGCTGGGAACAGGTGTCAGCACAAGATTGGTCTTCATGCCCGACAAGGAGCGCGACATCAGGAAGCCCTTGGACGTGACGAAGGAGGCCATGGTTTCTCACCATGCACGACTGCTCACACTGCCCCAATTCGCAGTGTTGGCTGCTGAGCTTCTGAAAGCGAGGGGGGAACCCACACCGATGTTGTATGGATGGGCTGGTTCAATCCTCCTGTTGATCAAACAATGTCGCAAGAATGTTTCTTCGACCTCGTTGACTTCGCGAGACGCCAATGGGATGAACAATATCACAACATCAATGGCAATGAGCACTCTTTTGAAGAGACTGCGGCCGCCTCTGACATTGCGGAGTTCCCTTTGGCGAGATCTACAAGGACTGGCACTGGTGAGGGACATGAGGGGCTCAGGAGAGACTTTGATCCCATCAACAGACTTGCCAAGGGAAAAGGCGAGGGCACATACCAACGCCCGATTTTCCAACAGGCTGTTGAATGCTGGAAGTGTGGCTAATACGGTCACAAGTCTTTCGAGTGTCAGGGGCGCTGGAACCGCAGCTGGGGATGGTAAACCGATGTAAACCGGATACTCAAGCCGCTCGGGAGGGCAGGCTTATTGATCAAATTGGAGAGAGGGCCACCAAGGCCGAGGATGGGGAGATCAGTGGGGCCGATCAACTGCTCCTCCGGAGCCAGCTCAACTTCCAAGACGACCTGCTCCTGCCGATAATTCAGCGGCGCTGAGGTGGTGACGAGCACTGGAGATGCAGCTGCTGTGGCAGATCCAGTTGTCACTGAGGTCCCTCAGCCTGAATTGCGAACAGCCCGAATCCGGAGCGAAGAATACTGTGAGATTGATGGCATGCCGCACTACAAGCGCACCTTCACTGACGGCACGGTGGAATCTGAGCCTTAAGGTAGATGTCTCACACCATGCCTTTTTTTATGCCTGCCGGAAGGTGTGGCCGATTGGATGGAAGAATGACCTCTGGTCAACCATTTCAATCATTATGCATCAGAACTTCAAATGAACGGCTCAAATGATTCCCAAAAAGTTTCTCAGTTGATTCAAACCAATTTGGCACTCATCCGATCCAAATGAATGCATTCGTTCGTGTACAGATGCCGTGTAGATTAGCCTGCTACAGAAGCTTCCAATTCCTTTGGCAAGAGAATGGAGTGGTAGAGCTCCCATGCCTCGGCGGAAGCCAGGCCGATTTCACGTTTGTCAAACACGTGCAATGCCCGGGTCATGCCTTCTGAATTGAGACCAACCACACACATTACTTATATCAGTTGTACAGTGATGTCTTACTTCATCTCCGCCCAGGTCACTTTGTGGTGGACGTAAACTACCTTCCGCTCTCCGTAAACACTGCGGGGCGGCAGGGGGTGCTTCTTGTATATATCAGTGCACATACTCATGTTTTACCTATACTGTGTTGAGCTTATGGCTCAAGAAAAACAATGTGTAATTGCTGCTGCTTATTGGCTAGTTAGCCTGTAAAACAAAAATTTATGTCGCCTGCAGGTTACTCCTGTAAACCTGTGTGTGTGCGTGCGTTTTTTTTCCTCCAACTGCACCCACAAAAAAAGGAGACGATTGAAAAAACAAGACAAAACAAAACCAATCCAAAAAAAATGCGATTGGGAATGCCGCAGAACTAGAAATTCGCAAAAATTGAGGAAACACGGAAACACGCTGTTCAATCCTTTTTTCAGCATGTTTCAAAATAGCTAAACCGTTTTTTGCGCGTTTTGCCAGGCTTAACTTGGTTGGGGCAACATATATAATTTGAAAAGCAGTTTAGAATCTGCGTAAAAATAGCGATGAATTTTTTCTAGTAGAGCAGGTGTTGATGATAGAGGTAGCCCTGACGGAAGTTAAAAGTGTAGAATCAAAAAAGGCATCCAGAAGGCTTTGGGTTGATCTTCCATGATCTTCCATGATCTTCCATGATCTTCCATGATCTTCCATGATCTTCCATCGCTCATTTGTTGAGTTTGGCATTTACAAAGGGCCTGATGGGTGCAGCATCTGGTCGTGGTATCCTTGAGCATTGCCAGGACGCAGGCCCAATCGTACAGTGTGCAGACCCTGAGGGGGCCGCAACAGCTGCTTTTCAAAGAGTTGGACAGAGCCTGAGTGGACGAACGATGTTTGTATATAAATATATATATATATCAATCTATCTATCTATCTATCAATCTATCTATCAATCTATCTATCTATCTATCTATCTATCTAAATATATATGTATATGTGTGTGTGTGTGGAACATCTGAATAGATGTAAAACTTCTACATGTTGACGTTTTCGGTTTTCTTGATTTTTCTCAGTTTCAGGAATTTCACTATGCTGACGATCATGTTTACACGACTGTGCCGTCATTTATCTTCACAGCAGGGGGGCAGTGCACGACTGACAGACACTGCTCAACGAAGTCAGCTCTGCGTACCTGCATGGCTTTTAGCATTTCTCTGAATGGCAACCGGCTAAGCCTAGAACCAGCGTGTCGTCAGTTTTGAATTTCCAATGTCCATTTCAGTTTCTGTACGGTCTTCGCACTCTGTCAAGGTGGGAACGATTTGGCTTTGTTGAAAGGGAAGGGTCAGCTTCATACTCCTTTCATCTAGCATTGGCTTTGGCGATGGTGACTTCTTGAATTTCTCTCGGGTCTTTTCACCGACCCATTCCGTCAGGTATAATTGAACAATTGGAGCGTTTTTGGACGTAAGATGCATTCCACAACAAAATTCGCAATGATAGTTCTGAGCAAGCCTCCGGTTTTTCTTTCCTTGCCCTTTCAGGGTTTGCCCGCTCTGGGCCAAGTGTGTTTGTGTTGGTGTTTGCTCTTTCCCTCTTCTTTTGTGTTCCCCTCTTTGCGTCCTGGTTAAGTAACTTTCACCTCATTTTCATTCTCATCTCACTTTCTTTTCCTTCGTCCTCATTTTCATCTCATCTGTCCGGACCTTAATTTCCCCACCCTCCTGCGGGAGGGTGTGTGTGTGTGTGTGTGGAACATCTGAATAGATGTAAAACTTCTACATGTTGACGTTTTCGGTTTTCTTGATTTTTCTCAGCTTCAGGAATTTCACTATGCTGACGATCATGTTTACACGACTGTGCCGTCATTTATCTTCACAGCAGGGGGCAGTGCACGACTGACAGACACTGCTCAACGAAGACACTGCCAGTTCGTGGTGATACAGAGCCTGATCAGCTCTGCGTACCTGCAGCGTTTTTTAGCATTTCTCTGAATAGCACCTGGCTAAGCCTAGAACCGGCGTGACGTCAGTTTGAATTTCCAATGTCCACTTCAATTTCTGTATGGTTTTCACAATCTGTCAAGGTGGAAAGGATTTGGCTGTGTTGAAAGGGAAGGGTCAGCTTCATACTCCTTTCATCTAGCATTGGCTTTGGCGATGGTGACTTCTTGAATTTCTCTCGGGTCTTTTCACCGACCCATTCCTGGCAGGTATAATTGGAGTGTTTTGGCACGTAAGATGCATTCCACAACAAAATTCGCAACGATAGTTCTGAGCAAGTGTGTTGTTTCAAATGAAAACTAGGGAAAACTAATATGTTTACTTTTTAAAATTATTTTTCATTGGAGTCCTTGCGCCATCGACTTAATGATTTTGTCCTTATGCTGATGGCATTGACACGTTTTTTTCCTGAAGGCCACTACCTGATACCAGACTCTGCTGTCAAGGCTTTTCTGCCTGCGTCTTGAAGCTGAATCATTTATTCAACAACATGCTCCAATATTTTTCATCAGCGATCCTGACCCAGAGCCTGTTTCGCAGGGGAGGGTGGTTTCAGTCGTGTGCGGGGACAATGCATCTTGGAGCAAGCTAGATGAACATCGAGGAACAGGATACCATGTCAGCACTCTGTCAGCATTGTCATTTCACTCGGTGCCGTCCAAGGTATTGATGGGCACTCCTGTCTACATTGAGGAGACGTTCAATGTTTGCGACTGGCCTCTTTGATGTCCGACCGCTTTGCCCGTATCCAGCTCTACACTTGGAGGACACGAGCTACTCAAGAAATTGTTTCCAGTTCAACATCTGCATGGCCCTGCCCTCAGACATTGAAAATGCATGGGGGACGGCTTGGCCAGATGACTTCGAGGTCATCGACGGCAGCCAACACCATGAACCCTACCGTGACATAGCCCAGCTGCTGGCAGTCCCCTCAGCCCTGAGCATCGGCCAAACAAACATGGAAAATCTGAGAACGCCATAGAAGGCCTATCTATTGGATTACATTCGGCAATCAAGGCCATGTCCTTTCAGACCCTGGAGGCAAGAACCAAGATTAGTCTTAGAGGCTCTTACCGTAGATGTGAAAATATTTGTAGGACTAACTCTTCCATTTTTTGACGTGCGCAGCCTGTTTTGAACATTTGTGTGCTGGGAACCAGCCAGGTGGAGACAAAGCTGCTCTCCAATCCCAGACATTCGTTTGCATTGCGACACCACGAGTCAACGATGCCGATGATCTAAGAAATTCCTCAATTTTAGGCATCTAGAAACCATTTGCATGCATTTGATTAACTGTGTTCTTGAGATTGCTGAGCCCCGGGTTTCCAATTGAGGAGAGGGCACTTCAATTCAGGCCATTTCTGTGGAACTTATTTGGAAACGTGTTGGTAAAGTAAATCCAACATGGTCCTATAATGTCCTATAGTGCATACAACTACACAGAATTACATCGCGACTGGTTTGGTGCGTATTGAATTTAGAGGTGCAGTGCACTGGTGCCCGGTGGTGGAAGGAATTTTCAAGATTCTCCAAGTGTAGGAAGTGTATGTTTATTTTTCAGTTGTTTTTAGGGTAATTAAAAGCGGAGGTTCTTGAAATGACGGAAGACTCAAGCACTCTTGACAAGTGATTAGTGCAACAACTGCCTGCAGTTTTACTGTACTCGGCTAGTTTGGTTTCAGCTGGCGTTTGAACCTCGTGCAAGTGGAGATGCCAGGCCATTCTGGCACAGCTGAGACAGCAGCTCAACGATGCAGAGGACTACCGCCTCACGATACCTCACATAATCCTCACATGATCATATGGCATGAGCGGCATGAGCGGCATGAGCGGCATGAGCGGCATGAACTTTGAGGAACATTGTTCCCGGCTTCTGAGGAATGCTTTGTTTGCACAGACAGCAGCCATGCAATTTCGTTCAAGGCCTTCAGCTTCATGGCAATTGGTGGCCATCATAAACCATGCTGTCGGACATGTCAAGGTCCGCAGATGGACGCCTGCTTGAGAGCCCAGTCCTGGTGGTGGTTCAAGATCATTCAATTTTAACATTTTTCAAGTCTCTGATGCTCTGGCATTTTCACCTTGACACAGAGGCGCTGACCAAGATTGAAGACGAATCTGCAGTTCCAGTTCCATTGCTGGATTTGCAGAAGCTTCTGGATCCCGAGAGAAGGCTGTGAAAGTCCTGCAATCTTTTTGCAAGCTAGTGTCACATGGTCGCGGAATGTATTGTAGCCGACACATCTATGTTTACGTGTTCATTTTTTCACCAATTAGATATTAATTTACAATCTTATTCTATCCAGTGTAGTTGTTGAAGGAGGCACATGAGTGGCATTGAGTGACGATGTTTTTCTATGTCTTCCTCTTATATGCACACATTTAAGATATCAAGTTGCCGCTTGTTCTCTCAGACTATGCACGCCTTTGTTCTAGCTGTGGATTATATAGGCTCTTCGCTTGCACCTTTGCTGCCCAATTTGCTCCTCCAGAAACTCAGAATGTCCAACTATTTTTTTCTCCGATAGCTCCCAAGGTAACTTCATCACTCGATGCTGGATGTTTATTCAGCCAAATCAACCCACCGAAGAAACAGCTACTGTAACCTCCCGTGCCAGATTCGCCGAAGCCGCTCAAAACTCACACAGTAGTGGCAGAAGTGGCAGCGGAAGTAACGGCAACAACCGGCAACAATGGCAGACGATGAGCAGAAGCAAAGCAGTAGCAGCAAGAATGCAGACACTTACCTCCCAAGAAAAAACACCGAAAGTGAAAGCAAGAGAACTCTCAACACAAAAGAGATATGAGAAAGTAGCAAGAGCAACCGTTTTAGCGGTCTCAACGGCAACCACTTTAAGAAGAAACCAGGCTGGAATTGGAACAAAATGAACAGAGAAGGCAGAATGACAGAAACTATGAAAAACATCATGATAATAATTACTACATGATTGATCAACTGATCATCAATGCATTGCTCATTATATTCATTCTCCATCCATCCCCTCTGATGATCATCGCAGTTGACTGAAATTGCGCATTGGGGAAGAGGCAACCAAAAGTGCACAATTAAGCACATGCGTTCTGACGTGGATCCGCCGTAGAGAAACTGATTGCAGAAGACTTGGAGCATGAGGGGATTGCAGAATTGCCACATGGCGAATTCTGAAACGTTCGACCATTGACAAGATGGATGGTGAACAAAAATGGCGTAATTACAACGCAAGAACCCGCTGCATAGAAGTGGGAAAAGAACGTTGTTTGTTGAAGCTCCAAGTGTCGAATGGAATCACAAGGCGAGCCGGCGAGCCCACAATTTACTTCTGTCACTCTGGATCCCAGTTGGCAGCAGGTCCGAATCGCCCGCAGGGCGTGATTTTCAACAAGTCCTTTGGCGGAGATTTATGGAGCGGGATCGAGTGGACGGGTGATGGAAAGAACCCCTAGCTGCTACTAGCTTCATAAAGCCACGAAGCTTAAAGACCTCCAGAAAAACATGATAAAGCGCTTGCCCTGTAGAAGATTCATTAGCTCGCAGCCATGATGCCCGACATGTGAGGCTTTGCCATTCAGCCTGGCGTGGGACTCAGCACTCTCTATACCAGAAAGAGGTGAGAATATGGATTTGCATGGATTTGCAAGGCCAATTTCGGTGGAAAGAAGTGGAGATGTGTTTGTGGCTGCTTTGTTTGATCATGCTGAGGATCCAGCTTTGGCTGCGGTCCTTCCGCTCATTGATGGTGTCCGCTCCTCTTTGATTTCCTGATTTCGGGCATTTTGTGTGTCCTGTGGTCCTCCCTGCACCATCCTGCAGCCACCCAGGTGAGAAGTGTGCAGACCATTGCCAATGACAGCCCACTGAGAAGTGATTATGCACGGAGCTTTGCAATTCGTGGCTTCAGATCAAGAGATATCAAGAGTGAAGCCACCAAACATAATTTGTTCTGCTTGACATGCCTTTTCCCTCTTTCTACAGATGCGTCCCTTAGCCTATCAGTCCTGTCCAATTACAGTGACTGCCGGTTGCTTACTCTTAAGTGCGTTTCAATCCTCTTCACATTTGTCACAGACATGCCGTTTTTTCTGGTAAGGTCGTAATGATTTTGCGCCACTTGCTCCACTTCGATCTGATCCACTTGATCCCTGGAATTGGCCTCGACAACAGATACAGGCATGGCGCAGCACCCTCATTTTGTTGCAGGCCTCGTGAGATTGAAATGTTCAGGCTGACACCAGCTTACCACACAGTACTGGAAGACCTGGAAAAAGGGTGATGGCCCAAGTATTTGTTGAGATCGTCAAGTGTTCAGGATAGACTCGGACAGACCTGTCACCGTTTGTCACCTGAGCTGTCACTTGCACGAGGGAAGAAGCCGTGCAATACGTCACGGCTGGCCACTGGAACGGGAAAGACCTGGCAGAGGAAGAGCGATACAAGGAAGTGTCCTCAGAACTGAGCATGGGGATACATTTGGTGTGTTATTTTTTCCATTTTGTGTGTTAATTTGTGTTAGTTATATAACTGAACACATTGACAGCATCTGACAAGTGTGTTTTGCTTCATTTGACTCCCATTCATGAGTGAGGTGATCCAGCGAGCGATGGCCCTCTATGAACTGCCGGCATGTTGGTTTGCTAAATGCCTCAAACATGTACTCTCGTCAGAAAGTGACATTGGCGGGCTTGCCCAGGGGTGTCTTCAAGGTAAGCAATGCTCTTGCAACCAACAGGCATTCCTCGCCTGCGAGGGAAAGCAGTTGGAGAGGTTTAAACAGGCGAGTTCCATTGAAGAAAGCAAGTCACAGCCCCAAACTTCAAAGCTGCCTCCTGTCGAATCATGTCAAAGCTCTGCTTTGCATTTCGTCAGGAGCAATCAGAGGCCTGGAGCTGCAGAACATGCTTAGAGAGATGGAATGCCTGCAGAATATCAGAAAGCAAATTTGCTCCAGAGAATCGCTCAGAAGATTTCAGAAGCTCAGTGAGGAACTTGCTGCCCTGGGCATTTCGCTGCGTCATTTCGTCACCTGGGGCCTCCTCCAGGCATGCATCAGTATGGCCTCATGCAGATCATATTGGATCACGGCCAACGCCAAACCACAGTGTGGCGGTGTGTCGGGTGTGAATATCTGCCATGGCAGGGCTACCTTGAGCGTGTTGAGGACAACGTGGGGTCCTCAGACCCTCCTTGATATAATCTTAATGCTTGACATAGCTTGACTGTTCTGCTTGTTCCTGCCTTCACTTTGTTGATGATGGTGACTTCAAGGTTGGAAGCTTGAATAAAGAGCAGGCTGACGAACTCTTCCGCTTGCGTACTGAAGACATTCCAAATCGGAAGTGGCTTGGCAAACTCAGCTAGCCTGCTACCGTGCTACAAAAAGCGGCATTGCGAAACTGAAGATATTCCAAAGGTATGCGGAAGCGTGCGCGCGTTGTTGGCTCACATTGGCAAAAAGACAGTGCTCAGGTCAGGTTTGCGCATTGGCTTGCATTTGATTCATTGCTTCCAGCTGCTCCAAGGAAATACCTGAAGGAGCAGGGCCTTTCGGGAAGACAGGCTGGTGATGATGATGGGCAGTTGCGGTGAGGAAGTTACAGTACATCACACTGTTTCCATCCCGAAGCATGCCGAGAAAATATGAGAAAATTGTAGACTGGTAGACACTGGTACACATTCTTTCCCAAGGTGATATGACTTACACCAAAGGTCAGGAACAGGTTATTTCTGGTGGTTGTGTTTGAGTTTATCTGCACTGGGTGAGTACATAATGCAAAATACGTGTCCCAGTTTCAGCTGCTGTGCACCTCCTGCCCAATGAAGTCGAAACCAAGTCTCCTGACCTGAAAGCCGCCACAAAAGTCACCACTGGACTGGTCCCATCCAAGTCCTTCACTCAAACTTTATTTGGTCTACTCCATCAGCGTTCGTATTTGGTTCTTTTCTCTCCCATGCGCTGCATGGAGAATTCTGCTGGCAGGTCAACCAAGATGAAAAGGTCAAGGACATTTGGACGATTTTGCACGCACGTGAAATGTGCGGTTGCCTTGACCAGACATGGGAGAATCCGTCGAAAGGAGATGGTTGAGAGAATGCAGATGTTGCGCAATGCTGCCGTGATCCTCAGGGGTCAGATTGACACAAAATGACAGGTTCAAGGAATTTCAAGGATACATGCTGTTGTCATCCGTATTATCCGCTGCATCTTATATATATACATACATACGTGTGTGTGTGTGTGCTATTCATGGTAGTTCGGCAATCTTTTCTGAGGAAGCTTAAGTTTCTGCCGGCATATGCTGATCTGCTACAATTTCAAATCCGTTCAAGACCAAGACGCGGAGGGAATCAGATGACGCGGTTGATTTCCCTTGGACTCAGCCTAAGCTATTTGTTGTGCTCACTGTCCCCGAGGAATTCCCAGACTGGACCGGCGAGCTGTGAGCTGCAGACAAAGAATGGTAGCTTTTAGATGCTTTTGGTAGCTCTATGATGCTTTATGATGTTTTCTGATGCTTGATGTAGATTTATTTGGCTTTACTTTTGGTATGGCTCCTTCCACCCCTGGCCTGCTGACAGGTTCAGTTTTACCTGCTGCAGTGCATCCTGCTCAATGATTAGAGATCCAAGGATGGCTTCGCAAAAAAATGCATGACAATTCTCACAACATCTCACAATCTCAGCAAGTCGCCTTCAGCAGTCCAAGCTGGACACAATCCACAGAGATCAGAAAAAAAAACAAAACAAACTCCAGCGCCATGTCGGGCACATACCCGCGCGGCTCTTCCGGCGGAGTTCTGGCCTCAGCCAAATCCTGGCTGAAGAGACAATCCTTTGTTTATTTCATGATGAAAATGATAATAGCATATTAATATATATATATATGTGTGTGTGTTTAATAGACAGAAATAAAGTTGTATTTTAAAAAAACATAACAAACTTTGATGGCCCATTGCCTTGGTGGTGTTGTATTTTCGGATAGACCCTGTTGATCGGAAATGTAGAAGCATTTTAACGTACTTTAACATTGTCAATCATGTGCAAGGTATGAGCAGGAAATTGTTGATGCTGTGGCGATGAATAGACACATATTGCGGAATAGAAAGCAGTGCAGCCACCAGGAGCTGTCTCCGGGCACCCGTGTCATGGTCGTCGGGATCAGGGTTGCTTGACTGAACCAACATAGCATCTGAAGACAGGTCTACTAGTCTACTTTCGCAGTGACTTAACGCCATTCATACACTTCTGCAATGTTCTGCAAGTTCTGGAAATTGGTGTCCTTGATCATGCTTGATAATGACTCTGGTCACCGAGTCGGAAAGAGAGATCAACGGCAAGGAAGGCACTTGTGTAGAATGGTGTCCCGAGCAGCTCAGCTTGCAGGGCTGATGTGACTCTTTGGTTCGAGTGGAGAGAAAGACACGAGGAAGACATGGAAAAAAACATATAAATATATAACTAAATAAATATATATATATACACATGTGTGTGTAATTCAGATCTTTTTTGCGGCTTGCTTGAGGACTGGCCGGGTACATGTACAACTCGAAGATTGTCTCAAGGCTTTGCGGCCGCGTAATCTGAAAGTAATGCGATCCCTGCATGATGTCAATGAGATGATGGATCGAGTGCTTCAAGTCTTCGAAGGTTTCTTGGCTGAATCTCCCAGTGGTGCTGTTGTTCCGTGCTGTGGTTCCGTTCTACATGTGCTGAATTGATACAGTACCTCTAGCAACTCTAGCGGCCAAGAAAGCACAGCCAGTCACGTGTCCAACTGAGGTGCAGACAGCTCCTTGGCTTTGGCAGCTATGAGTACAGCATAGGTCATGTGTCACGATATGTCACGATATGTCACAATCTCGTATGTCAAGAAGTTTGAGCTACCAGCTACCAGGCAATGGGGATGGTGTATTGGATGTAAACGAATTCGAGAGATGCCTGGAAGGCATCGGCTTGCAGCTTGGCAATTTCAATTTGATGAATCCACATGAATCCACATGAATTTCACATGAATTTCAGCAATTGAAGACCATTCAAGCCGAGTGCAACATTGTGCAGATGCAACAAGCTTTGCACTTTTAGGATTCTTTTAGAGACAGGCACTATCAGCTTTGCCTGTCACCCAGGGGGAAAGAGTATGTGATAGCCTTCCAGATGGCAATGGACAAAGATCACGACTTCGATGCTTTGTTGAAATTATGATAAACACCATGAGCAACGCATAGCAAAGTTGCGAAGGTGTTTGACTGCTTCACCAATCTTGACCCGTGATTGAAGTTCTTTCCGTCTGCGTGCGCTAGGAGATCGACTACGCTGAATTTACTCACTGGGCACTAGGTCGGACTCCGGTGTCAGGATAGCCCTAATTGAGGTCAGCCCAAGAAATATATATATATATTTATAATATATATAATTATATATAATTGCCTTCGGCAAGCCCGCAAGGGAGTTTGATGTGCACTCTAGGTGGTTGACCGTAGACCAAATGACTACCGCCCTCAGCAAAGTAGCGCCAGGTACTATGTATGAGCCTTTGGCTTGACAGCAAACCGCTGCATGGAAGGGGACAGGGTGGAAGCGGAAAGAGGTTGCCCCAAGAAAGGTTGATGTGCACGCCAGGTGGAAGCCTGAGAGAAAAGCAGAAGATAAGAGAAGAAGAAGAAGAAGAGGAGGAAGAAGAAGAAGAAGAGGAAGAGGAAGAAGAAGAGGAATAGGAATAGGAGGAAGAAGAAGAAGAGAGAGAGAGTCTTTACGGACCACACCCTGGCTCATCCCCTTAACTGCAGGGGTGGGGTAGTGGCCCGCCTGTCCGCCTAGTGTTGCACCCGGGTATTGAACCCGGGTCTGACGCATGAGGGATGCGTTTTATCCACTAGACTATACCGGCCCTCGGAAGAAGAAGAAGAAGAGACGAAGAGACGAAGAGACGAAGACAGGGCCGTAGATCAGAAGCAGCTTGAGTAGCAAGCGCGTGCTTGAAGAACCTATGGACCGCATACCAAATGAGTACCGGTTCATGAGTTTAGTACCGTGTGCGTCCTGTAACTAGTACCGGTGGACGACTGCAGTGCTGTAGACAGTTACCGGCGCTACCAGTTTAGTACTTGGGGAAGAAGGAAGGAGTATAGAAGTAGGAGGAGTAGTGGGAGTAGGAGTAAGAGTAGTAGTAGACTAGTACCAGTACTAAGACTTAGACTTAGACTTCGACTTAGCTACTTTGGGGGGTGGACACGATTCAGACGCAGCAAGAACGGGTAGCAAGAGAACAAAGGAACAAGGTGGAACAAGTACAAGCCAAGAACAGAACAGGAACAACACCTTCCAATCAGACACACCGGCAGGCCGGCGGACTGAGTTGTGAGAACATGATGAGAATGAGCCCACTTAGCAGCTTAGTGTGACACAGAAAAAGATTTAAGAAAGCAACCTGACCGCAAATAGGGCCTGAGATCCGTTTAGCATAATATGCATTGAAAGTAAAATCTTCTGTGCACAAACCGTTTTTTTGCATGTAATGCAGCCGCTGCCGTGGATGATGCCGAACCCTGATAGGCACAAATGCTCCTGGACACCGGTCTCGCTTAGACCTCTACTGGCCAAAGAAGCGTGTCTTGCCTACACATTTTTGACATTTGGCATCATTTGGCATCGTTTGGCATCATTTGGCATCATTTGACATTTGGTATCCTATTTGACTTGCCACCTGAATTAGCACTTGTTTCTACGATTGCGTTGCTCCGAGAAAGTTTTGTTGCGGTGTTTGGACAGCCTCCAGCACCAGCACTCACAGGTCAAGAGCCGCAGCCTGTAGACGACGATGACGCTGACTACACTATCCCAGAACATGATGAAGAGCTAACTGAGAAAGACATCGTCAAGATTCTTGTTCTAATTGGTCTATTTCTATTGAGTTCAAGATCGGTGCTGTGGCCTTGTGTTTCTAAAGCTCCTACTCAGATCATGCTGGATCGCTAGCGTATGGGAATTGCAAATTCTCTGGTTCCGTACATGGGACTGAGCTCACAAACCTAGGATTCTGCGCCGACCGTTGCCTGATGCGCAATTTAGAATGTTTGACATGAGATGTTTGGACCCTGAACCTTCATGGCAATCACCTCAGTATGCACGCGTATGAATATGTTGTCATGATATGTCATGACTATATGTGTGCTGATATCTGAATATATATATATATATAGGCACAATTGGGCACATGTGCATGTGCATGGGAGTTTACATAATATATGTATATATATATTATATATATATATGTGTGTGTGTGTGTGACATAGTATGACATATGTTTACAGTTCGACTCCATTCGATCTCTATCTCGCTGTCTTTCAAACCGGTGCCCTTCTGAGGCTACCTGACGATTGGCCAAGCCATGGGATTCTCGGAACTGTTCATGTCTTGCCCAAGGGAAGAACTGGAGCCATCAGATCTAACTGATCTAACCCATGTGTTTGCCACTTGTAAATTCCATAGGTACCTGTTGCATTGGTCTAAATTAATGATAATGCATACTGCATACTTGTGAACATTCCCATTCTGTCTGACAGCTGATGGCACTACTCGCACTACTCAGGATCGCTATCGTCAACAATGCCAGGGCTCGATTTCCATACTTTCCAGTGGCTATTTGGTTGCAAGGCAATGTTAATTTGCATCGCACAGACGAATGAAATGTAGGTTGTTTTAGAATGCAGGTTCAGTATTGGACATGAAGGACACCAACTACAGTACTAAAATTCTGAAATAAGAAATGATGCATACAAATATTTACTATATATATATATACATATGTTGCGCAAAGAATGGCCGTTTCCCGATGAAAGAATTTACATTACATCAACTGCCATGTGTGTGTGTGTGTGTGGGGCGTTGAAACCGTCAGATGTCAACTCTTGTCTTCCCTTGCCGATTCCCAAAGTAGTGCAGATTCAAACCAAAAAAACTTAGACAGGGATCAGAACCTCCAAGGTGTTTGAGGTTATGTGTGTTGTGGTACCGTTGAAGACGATGCTAGAAAAAGATTTGGAGAATTCTGGAGAGCATGACCACACTTCAATGCATTCTCCATGAGCAATTCTGAGGAAGGCATTGTGACTTGGATGCACTTACATAGTGGCAACCAGCACAGGTCAATCAGACTTTGCAAACATATTGCTGACATTTGCAACCTACTTTCCAGGTATGGTCTATGAAGCGCAATGAATACATCGGCGGCCGGGTACTTGCAGCTCGGCTCCAGCGTCATGCTGTGCTTTATTCTGTGCGTCACACTTCTTTCCCACTGCCCCACAGCAAGGCGGACATCCGTTCCTCTGGAGCAAAGGAGGCACGGCGTGGCAGTCATGTTGTGTCCATCCTTTTGCCAAGTGATGCCGTGTGATTTTCTGGCCGAGGTCCACCCATGCCGGACAACCCCCCTACGTGCTTCCGGGGACCGCACTTGCAAGCGTCTTTGCTTTGAGCGCCAAAGTTTGTAGAATCAAGTGATGTAAGATGATGCAAGCCCATGGCCCATGCAAGCGCACAGCATTGAAGCAATGCGTGCTGTCCTTGAAGGAGGCATTTCCTGCGATCTATCGAAACATTTCACCAGAGGCAAGAGTCAGCAACTAAAACAAGCATCGTCACATCAGGAATGATGTGGGAGGTCGAGTTAGGGCTCTGACAATGAGGTCAGAAACGGTCAGAACCTATATTCACTATATTCATCTATATTCAATATTCGCTGCGCTGAATGGCGTGAGTTTCGGCCAGGGGGAACTTTTCGTGTACGAGCTGAGCGAGGATGGAAGCTTTGGGGGCATGCGTGATCGCCACACTGACCTGCCTTCTGTCCATTGAGTATGAAAGAAGCTGATGAAGGGATCAGGGATGTGAATGCTGAAGGCATGGCCAGTTTTTCCAAAAGGAGGCACTTGAAAGGGCAACACCTTTTTCCCACGTGGTCTCGTGATGTATGGCATTCTCATGTAAGCAGGGGATGTGATTCATGTTCAGCCTTCGCCTGCAACTGTTTGTGACATGCCAGGCAAACTGCCTCCCCTGGGCATTATCCCCAAAGGAGTAGCTCAGCTACCTACATGAGAAATGGTGTGACCATGCGTGACCTGTGCCTTCAGTGATGTTTGCAAATTTGATTGGCAGCATCGCTGCCATGGCTGAGGATATGTTCACTGTTTATGAAGTGCTGCGGGGAGCCGAATACGGGCCTCTTGGCCACGGTTTGGGGTTGGGATCCGGCAGGGTTTGCAGTCATTTCCTTTGGGTTGCATAGATTTTGTTTAGATTGCTGTGATTGCCTTTTTGATCTTTTTGCATAACCTGGTCATCCAAATCGAGGTTCTGCTTCGGCCGAATCAAATACAAGGGCCAGGAGAAACCTTCTACGTGGGTAGTTCTGGGTCTTCTCGTCGAACGAGGCACTGGGAAACGTTTTGCAATTTTCTTGGACCAAAATTCTAAAAACCAAACCAAAATCTCTGTGAGGCAGCGACTGGTCAATGCCAGACTCGGAACGACATCCGCGAGATTTGACCTTCTCAGACGTTTCTAGCTTGAAAAGAAGTTTGAAACCCTGCCCGGTTCCCCTTAGCAAACTCCCAGCAAAATTCTGAGCCGCTTTTGGGAGATGGTAGGTCTTTAATGGTGGTTTTGCGTATGTGTGGCACAGTGTGGCTGTTCGAGCTTCGCTCGGCTGAGGCTGAACGCATGAACTCTCTTTGGTGAACTGTTTCGTACGTATCCTACGTGTCATCCTACGTGTAGCACGTGTACTACGAAGTGTACTATAGTGTTTCAGATTGTTTCAGGCTTTTGCCCTCAGCTCTCCAGTCAAAGACTGCTCCAGAGCCTTTCGCACCAGTTCTGCAGAGCAGTTTCTTGGTGTTTTTCCATGCCCACAAGGGCCGTGGACAAGTGAATTTGGGTGGAGGTGCCACCTCCCAGAGACAGATTCGATGAAAATAATTGAAAATAGCATTGAAAGAACCTAAGGAAGTGCTCTGAAGACATTCCAGGATATACCTGGCATATCCTGGCATCAAATTTTATCACTTGCTGGCTGGTTATGAGATGAATCACGGCATTGTTGCGGTATGTGTGGTTGTGATTGTCCAGTGCGATTTCGCCTTCCTTAGTGATCTAGAAGCAATGGATGAGAAACAAATAGAAACAATGTCAATCCAGGATGCGGAGAGACTTACCATCTTTTCATAGCTTTTGTGGTGCCATAGCTGAAAACTTTGCAGAGATGACTTCTTCCCAATGCAGTTGCAAAGCCTCCTGACATGGAGACTCTGATCACCGACCTAAGACTTCTCGTGCCATGATGCGACAAGAGCATTGCGGAGATGCCGCTTCAGCCGCTTCAGGGACTTCCAAAAAGCTCAGGGCAAGGCAGGATGCAGCATGACCACATACATGTATCTTATATATATATACATACATATACATACATATGTATACGTATATATATATATATATACATGTACCACACGGTTTTGCCAAACGTGTTCGTGCTCAGGTGTCACTCCACCTGCGAAGGAGCTGACATGGGTAGATGTATTTGTAGCCTTCACCGTGTTAACATTTAAGAGAATTTGACTGAAATAGAATGAAGACCGTCTTGCAGACCTGACCGGTTAGAGGATCTCTTCTGGCATTTGGACAAGCTGCTAGGCAAGGTATGGCAATTTCGAGAGTGCTTCGGAAGCTCTCACAAGATCTTGCAACAAGTTTGACAATGTTTCAATATGTTTCACCTATGTTTCACGTTTCACCTATGTTTCACATGCAACTGGAGGCCCTATCCAGTCGCAGACGAGCCGAGGCTTGGAAATTGCAACCGTCTCCACATGTCACGGAGTGACAGGATGTGACAGGCGGCCTGGCAGGCCTGAAACCTCGGCAGCTGTTCTCTCGGCTTTCAACGTTAAAGCTTCTACGTCGACCCCAGGACAGGTTCTGACAAGTTATGACAAGTTCGAATCTTTAGAAATCTTGAGAGATCTTGACACTTTGTAGATTTGAGACGATTTCACGCTGTTACAGAGGGAATGACATGAAATACAACAGCTTTCAAACCTGATTATTACTTGCAACTTGTGCAGGACTTCACCCGTTTACTTGGCGCCTTGGGCAAGAGGGAGCTGTGGGAGCATGCAAGGCTGGCCTTGAGTCAGGCGCAACGCGCAACGACTCAGCTGAAGCAATCGTCGTTATATTGGTCGTTTTTGCTGCCTTTTGTACCACTGAAACCTGCAGATGGAAGTCATCTCCATTCAAATGGCCCCTTGGCATTGACTGTATCACTGCATCTTGCAAAGCATCCATTTATTACACAGACAGCATTATACATCTATATTTGTCTTGGGTCAGAGTTGTCATAGCCTCGGAAGGGCTCACCTTAAGATTCAGCTTCAAGTTGTATCAGAGTGTGGCATCTGACATAAGGATGTGATAGCACTTGGTGCGGCAGTGAATGCGTGTGCAGGATCTTGGGGTTTGAGGATTTGGCAAGCATCACTCAAGATGCTGAGACTGTTTCGCGAAATAATGATTTGCCATGTTTGCAGTTGAGGGTTGACGGAGGCCGACAACCATGGTTGAATAGAGCCTCTCAGACTTTTGTGCGGAGCGCTGCGCTAGTAATTGCACCACTCCAACTAGAAAATAATTTAATGCATGACCAAAGCCAAAAAAAAATAAAAAAAAGGATCGCACCTGTCAACAACCTTACGCAGATCAGAATACGAAAGTATTATATAAGCACTCAGACCTCAGCATGTGCAAATGATGATGCAGATGCCACCAAATCTTTCTAGCCACGCAGCATTTATGCAGTCATCGCAAAAAGAACACAGGTTTTCGTCGCTCCAATCAGCACCAAACGGTAGCTTGCCACATTCAATCATTCTACTTCCTGGAACTTGCCCCTCATGCTAGCAACCCGCAGAAAATGTGACAGGTGTCTTAGACCAGGCAAGACGAGACCCTACACTTCATCAACGGGTACTTCACACCAGTATTCTAAAGGTGCTTCAAGAAATACAACAGAAAGAGAGAGAGAGAGAAGTGTACACAACTGGGCATGTGTATAAAGAGAGGATTTGTGGCCGTCCAGGGCTGTGGTAAGTGCCCCTTGACCTTTGTTTGCTTCATGATCATGATGATGATGAGGAGAATGATGACGACGATGATATCATGCAATCAGAATCATTAAGTCACTCAATCAACCAGTCGCTTAGTCACAGTCATTCATCCAATCAGTCACTTTCTGCAACGGAAATGAACAACCCGAAGGAGCTGGGCAATGGGCCACGGTAGCTGCTTTGCTGCAGCACTCTTGCCAGTTTGAAACTCGGGCCGTCAAACTTGCGAATTGGTCTGCACCTGCAATGTTGATCAAGGGTGTAGGTTGAGAAAACCATTAAATATCCAACTAAGTATCCGTTACGAAATGAGGTCCGGCATCCTTCCTGACCTGAAGACGTGGCTTGGCAATATGTCAACATGCATCAGCACAACCTTGCAGGAGAAATATTGAAGGCAAGCAGAAACAGAGCTCCGGATTCTGTGCTCAAGTTATGCTCATGTTTTTGGCGTCGAAAGGTTCAACTGTGCTTTGCGAAGCCCACAGGCTGCGACACTGGGTCACTGGAGGACTGTCACCAACGCTGTCGAAACTGCCGCAAGGTATTAGTGACTTGGTGTGTGCGAGTGCTTTGCCAGAGGTTTACGCTAAAAATGCTCGCCTTTCAGAGGCTCGTATTGCATGGAACACGAGAACGGCTTCTATTCTATCCTAGGGGTTAGGCAATGTTTTCAGCAGTGCTCCTGAGCAATCCTTTGTATACATGCATGGTCATGTTTGGTTTGCCTATTTATATAGATCTATTTAGATCGGTTTACTGGTTTGCTTCAGCATGTTTCAAGTCAAGTGGCTGTTGAGCCATGAGCTTGTCTCCCGACAGGCAGTGCGCTGTTCTTCCAGATGTGATCACGTGACCTCCGCATTCAGCTCAAATAACTCAACCGTAACCTTTTTTTACTGTTGCTGCACTGTAGGGAGGGTAAAAAGCCAGGTACGACCTTTTTGCTGCTGCTGCTGCTGCTGCTGGTCCTGATAAATGGAACTATGCGGGTGCGCTCAGATGGTTCTTTGAGGCAAACGAATTTTGTTGGGAGGACTATGCAGGCACAGGGGCCTTCATCAGATCTCAGATCAAATATCAAGGCCATCAAGGCCTAAAATGTGCAAGCCCTTATTGGCTTTGAGGTTTGCTTTTTGCTGCTGGACTCCCTGCATGGTTTGGTGTGAGCCCTCCTAGCAAACCCAGAGCCACAGGAGTTGCTTCTTTGATGATCGTTCCTGCTGCGGGTTGCTGGTAGTTGAGGCCGGATGTCCTTATGCTTGGAACAGCCCTCGGTGTATTCGAGAAGGTTTGGCCGGCCATGTTTTGAGAGTTGCTTTGATTACAGTTTGTTTTACTCCTGGAATCTTTCGGATGCTAAGAGTTTGGGGTTTCACAGCTGTCACGTTGGCACATTCCACATCATTATACATCATTATAATTCATTATACATCATTGTACTGTACACTCTCCAGTGACTTTCAAGGATGTTCAAGGCTAGGCCCAAAGCAACATTGAAATTGCAGACGCAATCATAGCATTTTTCTGGACACATAATGTACAGACAGTACACTTGCAAGTGTTGTTACAGGCACAGCAGTGGGAGCGCGCCTTGGAGGCTTTCCGAGGCAGCCAGTTGCCAATCGACAGGCGCTGAAGTGCTTGCCCTCAATATATATACTTCACTAGGACTAAAGTTTTTCCCGTCCCCTGTTTCAGAACAAAGCAATGTATATCTCTTTGCGGATCAACATTTCGAGTCTGAGGGCCATTTCGCGTGGTCTGCGTGGTGGATCGAATTTACTAGCCGTTTTAAACTAACTTTTAAAATCTTACGTAGAAATTTCTTTGGTAGGAGTCTATGGGGAAAGGGTGTTGAAAAGCCCAAGAGGAAAAACCTTTGTCCTGCCGGTGTATGCAATGGCTAATATTGTACTCGCACATGAATGACTCCATTAAGTCCATGCTATTGTCCTAAACAATCCTAAACATGTAAATAGATACCTGTGAGTGTAGATACCTGTGAGTGCCACTTTTTAGTTATGCTTTTGAGGTCCTTGGGAACCGAACTCTTCACCACAGCTTGATTCATTGGGAGGCACATTCTCAACGCAGCTGTCACTGCTTGTGCGGCAGGGTTGCAGCCAAAGCTGGCACAAAGAATTGTCAAGGACGGAATGCATGTGGGTGATGGTTTGAACGTCTTCAAGGTATATGTTGTGCTATGCGTCTCAGGTTTCTTTCGTTTTCTGATTCGATCTTCCGCCTCTCTCAGGTACCAAATAGTAGCGCCCTGGTCAAACATTGAAGGGGTGATGTACATGTCCCCATTGCCAATTGTATCCGACTGTTGGGTTTCCAGGAAATGGAGGGCGTTTCCATCCAAACAGATGCCGCTTGAATGGTGTCATACTGCAACCACGCGTTTCAGGTTTTGCTTTTGAGCTTTTTACATGTTTCCATCTTTCTACACTGACACTGGTATCAACCAGAAAGATGCAGATGACTTTCCATGGCTTTCCATATGAGAATTTGGCCAAGGTTGTGACTTTTGCTGCCTTGATTACAGCTGCGGAGAAGGGTCAGCTTTGGCAGGATGCAATTGCACTTGTTGACTCGAGCAATGTAGAAGGCTCTGGTGGTTGTCGAGTTTGGGCTGGTGGAGCTGGCAGTGCAATCGAAGCTCAGTTGCAGTTTGTCCTTCGTACCCTGCACTGCAGGCATTCGGCCAGACCGAATTCTTGGTGGTGCCACTATCAGCGCATGTGAGAAGGCCGCAGATGCGAGTGCAAGACACATACTGTAGTGACATAGCGTTGAAAATACCCTCTCCAAAGTCCTGATGCAACTTGGATGTTCGCGGTTTTCCCTCCATTACCTTGCTGATCCTTGCTGTATAGCCTGCTTGTTCGCAGGCAGTGTAAGTCGCAGCAGAAGGCAGCAAGGTCATTCCCTGAATTCCCCCATGCCAGGCAGCACAGTGGCAGTGGGCCTTGGACATCGCCAAAGTGCAGGTGGTTCAGAGGCTGAAGCCCAACGAGATCATGTGCAACGCCCAAATCAGTGCATGTGCTGCAAGTGGCCAGCTGCCTCAAGCCTTGAATATCCTGAATGAAATGCCTCAGTGGAACATCAGGAGGAGCAAGGTATCATTCAACTCTGCTGCTGAAGCACGTCAAAAGAGCCTGGATTGGGAGGGCGCGGTGCGAATATTGGAAATCATGAGGCACGACAGAATTCAGCCCGATATAGTTACTGTGTCGCTTGTCAGCTCGCCCTTGGAAGCTGCGGGGAAGACGACATTTTTGCCTCCACTGATTTTTGTGGTTCCTTCTCTTGGATTTGTCAGCTCCGCTCGGGCTGTTCCTACGAATCAGCAGTCAGAACAAATGACGGCTTTGGAGATTTTAGTGGAGCATGATGCTTTGTCCAGCTCAGTGGCACGGAAGTTTCAGAAGCTGGAGTGGAGGCTCTTAAGGTCAAGGCTAGAACGGTTGGCACAGGGTTCAGTGAGTGAGGCTGAGAAAGCTACACAGAGATTGTTTGATCGCCATTTGAATCGCTACTTTTCTTTGGGTGTGCATTTCACCTGCCGGGCTCTGAACCGCTTTTTCCCGACGTTTTCGGGCTGGAGAGGTTCAGCTCGTCAGCATACTCGGCGCGGCACTGGAGCATATTGGTCTCAAGAAGCAAGTGCTCATGGTCTCTCTGCTTGGGCGCAATTCTCTGTGTTGCGGATGAATGACAAGTTGACTGGTGCAGGAGCCACGTTCGGTTATGGCCATGCGGATGCTTCTATTTTGTTGCCTGTCATGGTGCAACATGACCGCTCAAGGCGCGATCTCAATTTTTCCATGTGCTGCAGTTTCGCGAGGCTAGAAGCAGGAACCACATTGAAATACTGGCACTGGCACTGCATACCTGAAAGATCCTGAAATAAATCAATCAATCAATCAATCAATAAGAAATTCGGATTGATTGGGGCATTTGTTTGGAACTTGAAGCTGATTGCAGGCATTCGGAAAGATTGGCTTTGCTATTTGTGCTGCGCCATGTGCAGCACGCGAGCATAGATTGCCAGCAAGTGGTCCAAAGAGCCTTCCTGTCGTAAAGTTTTGACATGCTGTGACTGATTGAACCTTTCTTGTCCTTCTTTGTCTATATCAATAGCTATCTATCCATCCATCCATCCATCTATATGTTTGTTTGTTGGTTGGTTGGTTTGGTTTGTGTTGGTTTGGTGTGGTTTGGTTTTGTTTTGTTTGGTCTGCCTACCTACAATACATACATACATAATCATACATGCATGCATGCATGCATGCATGCATACATACATACATACATACATACAAACATACATACATACATACATACATATATATGTATAATTATATATATATACATCCCCGCACCACTTTGCTCCACATTGAACGTCAACGGTTTTTTGGCTTCCAGCTTGACAAGCAGGAAGCATCAGGAAGCAATGAACAATGGCCCCAGGTCCTTGGGGTCAGAGACATTGAACCTCACAAGGGCAAGCTGGGTCACAAGCAGGAGAGTTGTGAGATGTTGTGAGGTATGTAGAATAGTTATGAATAACTAATTCAGGAAAAATATAGGATCTGAAAGGATCTGAAAGGATCTGAAAGGATCTGAAAGGATCTGAAAGGATCTGAAAGGTAGATAGACATAGACAAGCTAGAACAGACTCACAGAGCCATGCAGGCGGTCCATATTCAGTCTGCGAGTTCCGTGAAGCAAGTCGGTCCAAGATGTGAAGCCATGGCGCTCTGCACGGACGTGCGAAGCTTTGCCATTCCCCAAGCCGCAGGAGGGACAGCTTTCCACTTGAGGTACCTCTGCTTAGACAGGAGACACGTGGAGACACTCCTTCTGCAGTGTTGCGCACAAGTCACCGGGCCGCCACTGTCAACGGATTTGCCAACATGTCAGAAGCTTCACGGGACTATCTCTCCCGGTACCCGTTTCTTCCCAATGTTGGTGCATCAACTCTTAGGCATTGACCGCTTGAACTCTTGATCATCTTGATCATCTTGATCTGCTTTCTTGCGTTATCTTGCGTTACTTCATTACCTTCATGACCTTCATTGTGTTTCAGGTCCATTTGTGGCTCGACGTCATCTTCCCCGCGTTCCCATAGAGCCGCCGGTGCCCTTCTGGTCGCATGTGGCAAGCTCAGCACCATTCGCATGGCCGGCCCGGGCTTTGCGGAGCATACCCACACTTGCTTACTGCTTTAGGCATGTGAGGAAACAGTGAGATTGCAGGTTGCAAAGTCACAGCTCATCAGTTGAGGTTTGGCTTTTGCTCCTGGAGCGCGATTACTTGGTTGGCTAGGTCGAAAGCGGCATCGGAAGGCTGTCCTCAGCATGAAACTCTTTGAAAGATCATGACAGATTAAAAGACCTGAGCAATTCTTGTCCAGAACCACGTCGAAGCGCTTCGAAGCTTGTGGTTGGAAGATGTTGGAAGTGCTTTCGCTACAGGCCCGTGTCCATGCACTCGTGCGAGACACATCGCCAAATAACGTGCGATGGAAGCTGGCCGCACAGGGGACGCCTTTGCCTGAGGCCTATTGGCCTATCGGCGATCATTTTTTATCGTCGATCATCTTTAAATCCTATAAGTCTATGACCGTGTTTGTGTGTCTCTGTGCTCCTGTTGAATCGTCTCCTAATGATGTGCGTATGTATGTGTATGTCGTATGTGTGTCTTCTGCATGTCAGGATGTCTTCTGGATATGAAAACATAGATGTCTCCAAACATCTTAGTTGGACCGAAATTCAGCAGGACGATCCAGATGGACAGCTCAAGCAACAGGTGACTCGGCTGCAAGTTCCCTCAAACAACTTCCAAAAAAAAAAACGAAACACCCACTCATGCAAACATTTTGGGTGCCAGCTACTGAACACACACCAAGTTGATCAAGGTAGAAGATCTTTGGGAAGATCTGGAGCCAAAGCTAATGTATTTGCCTCTTGGCCGCTTTTAAGGCAGGGGAAGGGTAGGCGAACGCGGGGGGGAAACTCTTGGGCTTGCTGCTTCAAAAGCGGCTTAGCTTGATGGCTCTGTGTTGCTGATTGATGGAAGCCTGCATGCAGAAGCCTCTGTCCTGTCAGCACTGAACAAAGTTGGCTTGGCTGACCCTTCATTCTGCTTTCACCCTTCTGATCCTTCTGAATCTTCTGATGGATTGTGCTTTATCCAAGGCCTCGCGATGACCGTTTGCGAGCTCTTTCCGGCCTTTGTGTTGCAGCGTACCTGAGCGAAAGTAAGGGACACGTCTTGAGACTTATCACATGCACACACACACAGTTATATATATATAATTATATATAATAATATATGTATACTATATATATAGATACACCTTGCACATATCATTGGCAAGCGGCTACTTTTTCCCTGACGCGTCTCAAGTTGCATCGTTTCTGAGCAAGGTTGGCACACAAAGGGCAGCGCAGAAAATCTGGAGAGCCATACATCGTGCACCCTGTGGCTGTGGCTGAACTCTTAGCTCTGCTCAAGGCCTGGATGACAATTGGATGCTGCTAGACTCTATGAAGCGATGTGAAGCGATCAACTCATGGGGCGCTGTCAGGTGCAGGTGGATGTGATCATTAGTGGACTGCAACGCAGCTGCAGATGTTGTTAAACCATGTTAAACCAGTTCATGATGTTTTGAGTTCTGACTGTTCTGACTGCTGCAATGGAGGCTGCGTGCAAGTCAAATGAGATTGTTCTAAGGCTTCATGACACCGTGGAGGACAATGACGATATACGATTTGAAGACTTGGAGAGTATTTTTGGTCTTGACGTCCGGCGTACCTTCCTCAATGTAAGAGTGTGGAGCACTGGCCCAGCTTTAGCTTTGTCATTTTTGAGGGAAGACGCAGCGGATTCTGGTGCTTGTCACTGCGACATATTTTGGATGCAGCCCAGGCATAGTGGAAGGCGAAACAAAAGCCTCCAAGCGAACAGCGTTGGGTGGTAGGGGCAACTGGAGCCGCCGCTACACTTCTTTGCCCCTTTGCACAAGATGATTCAAGATGATTCAAGGATGGCAAAGGGCCTTAAGGGGCACTGGCCGATGGTATCCGATGGTCACTGACCTTAACCATCGTGTTGCAGTTCTGCTCCCGAGGTTCAACAAGTTCCTGGGAAACGGGGAGAATAAAGACTCCTCCCCACCAAAGGAAATGGGGAAGGCACAGGAGCAAGCGGAAAACCTGAGAGCAAGCAGCTCAGAAAGTCTGGAAATCAGCTAAGCACAGCTTTTATTTTGTTGCTTTCTAGGGACCCGATGCTTCCAGACTGGTGTCAGGATATGTTTCTGGCAATGGCGGATGACTACAGAGTGATTTTGGTGAAGCTGGCCGTGAATGCCTCAGCAAACACCTGCCTAGAGGTTGATGGGTTCATTTGATTGGTTGAGGAGCGGTGATGATGTTGACATTGATGTCTTTTTCCATGGATTGTGCGTGGTTTTTGCCACATCCAAGGACCGTTTACATAATATGCGAACGCTCCAGTACATGCTACTTAACAGCACCCAGGGACAGTTTTTCAAAGCTCTGGATCGTGCAGATTTGACCAGATAGATAGCACCGAGAACGTTGGGCGACTATTTTCTTGGCACACAAGGCTTGACTACCTTGTGTTGAGTTCTGTAGGCCAGAGATAAAGCAAAAGACAATTGCAGCAGAGACTCTTGAGACTTGAATGCACTGTGAGGCTGTGTGCCTGTTTGGATGTGTTTTTGCTGACCTTTTTCAGCTTCTCTTCGTGAAGCTGCTTGAAGATCTGAGATTGAACCTTGTCAAAAAAATGAGGTCGTGTTTTCTCAACTTGCTCACCGACTTGGCGTTTGGCTTTTCAAGACGGAGCTGGAGGATTTGTCAAAGCCCTACTCGATTATAGTGAACTCACCCCGCCCGATCCAAAATCTTGCGTTTAGTTGGGGGGACTTCCCGGGAAAGTCGCCCCAACATGCGTTTACTTGCTGTGGGGCAGTTGCATAAGATAGAAAACGACGCTTTAGAAGTAAATATTGCTTCATTTTGCTTGTGTTTACACTGGTGAACTTGTTTTTTGTCATGCCTGGCTCATTCATGTGACCTTCGAGCAAATCCAGTCACGTGTTTACATGTCGCATGGCAAAGCCATCGAACTGTCAGCACCGTTTCGATTGATCTTGGTGACACATCGCTTCACAATGAGGTCTTTCCAGTATTTGTACCCGACGGTGACCTGGCTTACCTAGTTGAACTGCTGCAAAATACATCCCAGGTCATGGATTCTTAAGACAACAATGTTTGGATACTGACTCAGGAATTTCGGACGCTGAATCAGCTTTTGAGTATGAGACATGCACAGTCTGGAGCTTATTGGCTGATGCTTTCTAAGAGTGCAGAAACTGTCACGCGCCAAGTGTTCAGGCATCAATCGACGCTCCAAGCTGCAACCCATGACTTCTCCAACCTCCTTAGGCAACCAGCACCACGCAGCTGTCAAAAGTTGTACTCGTATCACATTTAGCCAATTTAGCCTTCAGAGTTTACCCATGCCACAGCGTTAACCAACTCTTCGAGGCATGATCCAATTTTCATAGAGCAAAACGTTCGGATTGAGATCACCGGAAGGGAGCACCTCAGTTGCACTTGGTGTAGATCCATCCGGATATCAAACACGCACACACGTGTATGCGCCCAAGCCTTTCATTGCACCTGCATATAGAAACGTTACCGGTTGCTGCTTGGATATGCTTGGATTCTCAGGAAAGGCATGTACTCCTTGTGGGAGAAGATGCGTCGAAAACCAAAGTATCACAACAACATTGTGCCTTGGAAGCATGGGCTGCAGGCGGATGCTTTTGCAAGCTCTTGCCAAACGTGCGCAGGTCCTTTCTCCAAGAGTACAACTGAACCGAACTTGAAAGCCTGAAAGATCTGAAAGCCTTTGTGTCAGGACAATATTGACGATATCATTGCTTTGCGGATAGTGCTGGACATCGACCAGCTTGATGGTGAAAGTGATGATGACTACGCATCTCGGGGGGCCAAATTGTGCAATCATGCACTGGCGTTGGCGCGCAAGCTGCCAAAGTGGTCTGGCAACCTGGATGCATCTGGATGTGTCGCCTGGGTTGTGGAAGCTCAGCAAGAGACCTTGCGAATCCTTGCGAACTCAGGAGGGGAGGGGCTGAAGAACTACATTGCCTTCCCCAAGCCAAATGGCTCTCAGACTGAAAGTAACACCAAAAGCACCTGACACCTGATGATACCGATCAAAGATGTTTAAAATTGTTTAAAGCGCGTGTTTCAGTGATTTTGTGTGTTTCAGGCTGAATCTGTGTCGCGCAGAAGCTTCAGGTTACCAGTCTTTACACGTGACCTTCATCCACGACGATGCCCCTGTGCCTTTGGAGATTCAGATTCGCACCCGGCAAATGCACGAAGTTGCAGAGCCAAGCCCTCAGCCTGACAACTGAGGCCATTCATATCAAACGTATACATATACAACATTATGACTCATTGTGCACCATTATACAACTATGTATTGTATATTATATATAAGTATGTATATATATCTCCCTATATATATATATAGTTATATGTATATAGGGAGATGTGTGTATGTGTATATATATATATAGGTGTATGTATATATATATAATTATATGTGTGTGTGTGAAACATCTGAATAGATGTAAAACTTCTACCTGATGATGTCGATTTCCTTTGACGAATGATTTCTTTGTTAGGTCTTTTGCTGCTGTTTTGTAACTTACTGTACATGTCCGCTTTCCTTTCAACATCGAAAGCGGGGGGCCAGGAACCCATGACTGTCTGTCCTGGCCAACGAAGACCAGACAGCATGGGGGTGAACACGTACCTGCAATTTTCCATGTTGTCGTCAATGGCAACCGGCTAAGCCTAGAACCGGCACGTCGATCATATTGGTTTTTTTTCAGTTTCCAGTTTTCACTGCACTGTTGTCACAATCTGTCAAGGTGGGAACGATTTGGCTTGGTTGAAAGGGAAGTGTCAGTTTCAAACTCTTTGCCTCTAGCTGCTAGCTTTGGCTATGGCGATGGTAACTTTTCGATACTTCTCGGGTCATTTCACCGACCCATTCCTGTCAGGTGTAACTGGAGTGTTTTTGCACGTGAGATGCATTCCACATCAGAATTCGCAATGATTGTTCTGAGCAAGTGTGTGCATGTGTCTGTGTTTGTGCGTGGTATGTGTTTATTTGTTTTTGTGTGTATTTATCGATGCCTTCATCTGTGTAGTGTTCTGATAAAAGAAGCTCAATGGCAGCCAGTCTTGCAAGTGGAAACGGATAAGAGAGGCAAAAGTATGCGACAAATGAGGACAGAAGCTCAAAACCGCACCAGGAACCAGGCAAGCATGCCCGAATGCCCTTGTTCAGACTTGTCTACTGTTGAGGTATGGAATGGCAGCTCATTGGATCTACAAGAGCGGGCAGCGTGGCAAGCCACAGAAGCCATACGCCCAGCTTTGTTTAGAAGTCGCAGATTGCTCAAAATAGGCAAAGAACTCCAATCTCCAAACCAAAGTTTGAAAATAAAATCCTGTGAGGATTCGCTGTCTCCATTGAATCTGAAAGTGCGTTAAAATTCGAACAACAACGAATATGATGAAAAGATTTTGCAGTTGCAACCTCGATCTCAGTAACCCTGGTTGCTTTCCATTTTTTCCTGCATTGTTTCTTGTTAGTTCGAGCAAATTCAATCTATATAAAAATGTTTTGGGCATTTCCTATCAAAGCGGGCACGGATGGGCTATTGTTGGCTCAAATTTTCATGCAGTTTGCATAACCCAGCAAAGAAACGAGGGGGGAGCTTTAGCACTGGCTGGCATTGTTAGCATTTGGTAGTCGACGCCACGACTCCTTGTTTTTGAAGCCATTTTGAAGCCAAGGGCCAAGAAGCAAAGCCGCCGTGTGGCGTGGTTAGAATCCTTGGCCGACAAAGAAGCTTGGAATGCAACAACTTTATTCGCAGCTCTGTAGTATCGTGATTCTTTGAGTCCAGGGGCTGCCATGCTATTGGCAAGGTACTCCGGAAGCGTGATGTGAAAGTGTTTAAAGGTACTTATATAGATACGATGATGATCAAATGGAGGGATCTCTTTGGATGACGAAGAAATTCAGAAAAAAAAGTGCGCAACAAATCTGCAAACGGACTGCCAGAGCAGGTCATTTTATATTATCCCTAAACCTGTGAGAGTGCCTTAATGCGTATGTCAGTGTTGTGACGGTGTTGTGTTTGAAGTGTTCATGTTTGCAGTGGATGATGAGGTTGGTCTCCAGGTCCAGACCAACCAGCCCAAGCTTAGGACTGGGAACTACGAGCCGACCCCCAGGCATTTGTTCAGGAGGCGGGTTTTGCAAAGCAGCCGACTGGGGCAAAGAGGCATACTGTAGTGCTGCCGGAATGATGCGGGGGAAGTCTATGGAAGGGCCCGCAAAGATGCATATCCCCGCTCAAGCAGATACTTGGACCATTCGTCAACAAAGCAAAGTAGCTTACCTGCCTACATGTCACAACAGGTCACCATGCAAAGCAATGATACGCTAAGCCTTTGCGGCCTGATCCGGGCAGAGCACAGGTCTTGCGGGATGAGCTCGGGAAGAGGCCACCCTGTCCCCTATCGCATGTGCAGGGCATGGATGTGTTGAGCTGCATGTCAAACTGCATGTCACTAATTATGTCAGTTTTTTTCTGCAATGAAGGTGCTTTGTCTTCCTTCGAGATGGCACCATTTTGAATCTATCACGAACCTTGGCTGCCAAAGTGGCTGTCAATCGTAGATTGAGTCAAGCTCAACACATGTCTCCAGGTGGGTTTTCAGATCGCACTACAGGTAGCAGAAATGTTTGTTCTTGTTGCACGGGTTTCTGATTCATCAGTTGGAGGGGTTGCCTTTCCAAGCTTTCTGAAGCTGAAAGACGGTTTTGGCATAGGTTCTCTATGGTTCTCTCTTCCAGTGTCGCCCAGGTGGTTGCACTGCTCTTGATGCTGCCTTCAAGATTCACTCAGAGGCCCCTGCAAAGTTTATGGGCTCAAACCGTGGGAAACCCTGGGCGTCGGGCCCCTCAGGTTGGAATGCACATGCTGTACCCTGAGATCAATGACAAACAGGCAGGTTTCTGGAAGACTGGGGCGAAAATGGAGCAGTTATGGGAGTCATTTGTTGCAATTTGTTGGAAATGAATTCGAACGATGTTATTCAAAGGCATTGGTGAAAATGTCAGCTGGCAGCGTTCCTTCAGGTACCGCCATTCTATGAACTGCAGAATGGTGACCGAATCTCGCTGGAATTGTGATGGCAGATGAATGCTGGCAGGTTGTTGCACACTGATGACTTCACTATCACTAGCACTCACCAGTCTCATGGAGGAAAGAATCTAAGGTGTTAACATTGTCACTGCAGAGGACGCAGTCCCGCAGAGAGAATGGCCACCCACCAGCACAATGTGAATTCGGGCTTTTTTATGTCTGGTTTTGCTGAAGTTTCGTTGAGTTTATTCATACAGTGTTTCCTCGCATCATGCTACAGGTTGGCTTGTGCCTTCCTCCGGTCTACGCGGAACAGACTGTCAGCGCACTTTAGAAAGCAATCGAAGGCTGGTCACAGCAAAAAGATGCAAAACGTGTTTTCCAATATTTTTAATGTTTTTGGCGAGTTGCTCTGAACTGTTCCTCCTCGAATGATACGACTTGCAGCGCAAGAACCACAGGAGAAAGATCGTGCTGTTGACCTCGCAGCAGCATTGGCAACAGCGGCCACAGCAGCTGCAGCGTTGCCACTTGTGCATTAGTCATTTATCCTGCGCCTGAAGAGTGCTTTACATTCCCAGGCCCTACCTTAAGCAGTTTCACCCATGCACGGCAACAGGCAATGCAGGTTCCAGAATGATGGTGCGGTACTGCCCTACCCAAGTGCCTGGTTCATGATTTGAGCCGTTGGCTCAACATGCCATTGGTATATAGGAATTAGGATACTTTTTAACTTGTACACAGTTGTCGGCGCAGAGTCGAATTTTCCGGGCAGGATGCAGCGACCAGAATTTTGCACTCCAAACAAAGCTACAAAAAAATGTTCAACCAGGTTCAATCCTTGAGGAATATCTCCGATAGTGCAGGTCACCAGTTGTTCCGAGAATTGTTAGCTCCCCACCTTCACGTGACCCGGCTGCGCGAGCAGACACCAACTCTACATGTCATTAGAATATTGAAAGCTCTTGCCGTCCCGACACTGACGTTGCTGATACCACCCGACGCTTAAGGTTGCAAGATTCCCTGATTGTGGAAGTTCTTTGTCCCTCCTTTCTTTGCGGGTATGGCTTTCACATATCATCCCTATTCATCCCTGCGCTTGAAAAATCAAACAAACATGAAACTGCTTCAAGCTGCTAATTTGATGCAAATATTTGTTTAACATTGGAATTTTGAAATCTTATTGTAACGGCTTCTCTGACGCGCTCTCTTTTGCCGTCGGCGGGGTCGGCGGATATTTTACCAGTAATACCGCACAAGGCGGTGGCGGAAGTGTCAAAAATAGGAAACCTACAGGAGAGGTTGGTTGGTGTGAATCACGGATGGCAGAGCGAATCCACTGATGGACCGACAGGTGGTTGGAGTTGTGTTTTTTTGGAACGGTTGCAATGGTTGCAGTGGTCACCTTACCATTACTGCTGGATGTAGTGCGGTGTAGCTGTAGTTGTCGTGGAGTGGAGTGGAGTGGAGTTGTGTTGTAGTTGTAATGTAGTGCAATTAGTGTAGTTGCAAGCGCAGTTGCAGTTGTAGTCGTGGTGTGGTGTAATTAGTGTATTGTAGTGCAGCGTAGTGTCGTGTAGTGTTGTGTAGTGTAGTGTAGTGTGGTGTAGTGTGGTGTACTGCAGTCTAGGGTAGTGTAGGGCAGTGTAGTTGTAGTTGCAGCGTGGTGCAGTGTAATTAGTGTAGTGTAGCGTTGTGTAGTGGTAGTTGTAGTTGCGGTTGCAGTTGTAGCTGCGGTTGTAGTTGTAGTGTAGTGCAATGTAATCAGTGTAGCGTAGTGTTGTGTAATGTAGTGTGGTTGCAGTCGTACTTGTATTTGTAGCTGTAGCGTACTGCAGTGTAATTAAATAGTGTAGTGCAGCGCAGTTGTAATTGTAGTTGTGGCAGTGGTTGTTGTAGTTGTAGTTGTAGTGTAATTCGTGTAGTGTAGTGTAATTAGATGAAATTAGTGTAATTAGTGTAGCGCAATGTCGCGCAATATATTTGCATTTGTAGTTGTACTCGTAGCAGTAGTGTAGTGTAGTTCCAGTTATAGTTGTAATTGTCTATCTATCTATCTGTCTGTCTATCTATCTGTCTAGCTCACTTTTGACAAGGTGCACAATCCCTTGCGCCTCCAACGCAAAACGACGCTTCAACGCCCAAAAGTGGCGCGAACATTTTGTGTTTTGTACATTTTGACTTCGACATGTGCTTCGCGCCATGTTCACTTTTTCGACATCTCAACTTCTAAAAGCGTTCCGGGGCTGAGGTGCTTTGTACATTTTGACTTGGAAATGTGCATCGCGCCACAACGGCGCGCACTTTTTCGACGTCTCAACTTCTAAAAGTGCTCCGAGGCTGAGATGTTTTATAGATTTTGACTTGGACATGTGCTTCTCGCCACAACGGCGTGCAATTTTTCACTTCTCATCTGACCACATGGCTCCACACCCGCCGCTTTAGCGAGCCTGCCTTTCGACCTCCGGAACCACAAATCATTGGAAAAATACAGTAGTTCGCGACTTTCCTACCTTTTCGCACACCTGGATCTTATTTCCTCTTCTCTTCTCTTCTCCTCTCCTCTCCTCTCTTCTCTTCTCTTCTCTTCTCTTACTCTTCTCTTACTCTTCTCTTACTCTTCTCTTCTCTTCTCTTACTCTTACTCTTCTCTTACTCTTCCCATCTCTACTTTTCATCTATCTATATTGTCGGAAAATTGGCTTCTACTTTTCCTTCGATCATATTGGGTCGATGTTGTAACAAGTGCCGATATGGCCCCTACCTTGGGTAATTATTCCAGGGGGGCATGTCACATCAGGAATAATTGATTTGGAATAAATAGTTTTCGGATCAATTTTTAGTTATTCTGCTAAGGGGGTCTATTCTATCCCAAGATGTTGTATGGAATAATTTGTGTCAACATACCTCAGAATAATTAGCCATTGATGGGCATATAAACTCGGATGATAAGTTATGATAGATTTTGAACCATCACTTGAAAAATAGATGACAATATGACAATAGATGAACGCTGATGACATGTGCATTCACTCAGTGGGATTCAGTGGGTCCATTGGTCTTTGGCTAAGTTACCATAAGTTACCCATATGGGAATGTCTCCAAAATGGAGTGCCCCAAACTTTCTTTTTTCATCTGAAAAAAAAGGTTTGGGGCACTCATGTGGGCACCCCTATTTTGAGACATCCCCATATGTTTTCCACAGGTCACCCACATATGTCAGAACACCCAGGAATAATTAGGCACCACCAGGAAACACCCAGGGATTCTTCAAACCATTCATTGGGTCACCAATGTTCACTCAGTGGGTCCATTGGTCTTTGGCTAAATTACCATAAGTTACCCATATGTCTTCCACAGGTCACCCACATATGTCAAACCACCCAAGGGAAATTGGGCATCACCAGGACACACCTAGGAATTCTTCAAACCATGCATTGGGTCACCAATGTTCATTCAGTGGGCCCATTGGTCTTTGGCTAAAGTACCCATATTTTAACCACAGGTCTTCGGCACATGGTCCCTGCCATAGCCCCCCCCCTGCCATACCCCCTGCCATAGCCTCCCCCCTGCCAGCATACCCTCTCCATTCATATAAAAATACAAGTTGTAATCAAATTTGGTATATTTTTGGCATGTGTTGATTGAGGTTGTATTGCCACAAACCACTAGAAACCTAGTGTCAGAAAACCTTTTCAAATAAACTCAAAAGTTTATTGGGATCTTGAAAGTTTTGCTCCTTCCTGGTTTCAAAGATGTGCTCCGGCAATGCTCAACCTATCTCAACCTGTGAAGAAATCCTAGGTGTTTCCTAGTGATGCCCAGTTTCCCCTGGATGGTTTGACATATGTGGGTGACCTGTGGAAGACATATGGGTAACTTATGGTAATTTAGCGAAAGACCAATGGACCCACTGAGTGAACATTGGTGACCCAATGAATGGTTTGAAGAATCCCTGGGTTTTTTCTGGATTTTCCTGTTGATGCCTAATTATTCCTGGGTGTTCTGACATATGTGGGTGACAAGATCTTGTGCCAAATCGTAGTGTGCCTATGGGGAAAGACCCATATGGGCCGCGCCTATAACTTTAACTATTGATACATTTTTTGGCACTTCGCATAGGCACACCATGCTTATCATATCTTTGTGGATTTACCTACTATATTCCTAAAGATGAAAGTCGTGTCAATTGCATATTTTTCCTGGATTTAGGTTGGCGGATAAATTTTAGGAAGTCGTTGCAATCGTGGCATTTAGGTGGTGATTTCAGAATTTTGAAATTGATAACTCATTTAATACGTAAAAAATATATGCTATGAAACTTGGTGTACCATGCGGAAGATGACAAATAGACATTTAATTATCAATTTTTTGGCTATTAAACACATAGTAAATAAATATATTTGAATTGTTTGCTTTAGAATTAGTTTATTTTGACCGTCGATGTGCCAATGGATTTCGACCTGTCGGAAAATTATTGATATTTGGCATAAGCAGTGACCCATACGATTGACGGGATTCGTATTTTCTTATTTGATTCAGGGTGGCCACGGTTAGGTTCAGTTCGGTTTCCAGTAACCCAACTGCAGCCACCATCGGTTCGGTTACTGTTCGGTTCGGTTCAAACTGGCACGGTTAATTGATTGGGACGGTTTTTGGTGGCCAGGGGCCAATTGAATTGATAGTGATCATATTTAGGTTGGGTATTTATTTGGTTGTTTTCAAATTTTGCATTTATGGCGCCATACTGTAGGGAAAAACATTTTTTATAATTTCAACTACGGTTTGGTAAACAACTCCTCCCCCTAATGCAAAGGGCGATGATGTGTATCAATATATATATATGTACACATATTTAGACATTTATACATGTAAAAATCTATTTATATGTATATATTATATATATATATGAATATAAATATACACATACATATTCGGGCATCCATCTATGCAACCAATCTGTTTCAGACCCCAAACAGTGAATTCATGGTGTTTGTGAATCCGCGTGTACTTCTGGATCCTGCGCTCAGAAGCCTCCCAAACGGGATTGAAGCCAACTTGAAGCAGATGGAGGCTGCGCAAAACATGATGTATTATCCATCCATCCATCCATCACTTAGATCTACGGTGTGGTTAAACAACATCTCCCCCTAATTCGAAAGGGGGGATATGCATTTACATCGTGATATATATGTATATATATATAAATACAAATATTTAAAAATAATTATTTATATATATTTTTATATAGATCTATTTATATATATATATTTATATATATATATGTATATATGTATATTTATATATATATATATATATTTTTTTATTTATTTATTTACATATAGATATAGATATAGATATGAATATTTTTGTATACGTATATAAATATATATACACATTTACACTCGGCCATCCATCAATGCCGCAGACTTACACAGGCTTTTCCAATTATTGCTTCTTACGTCATGGCGCAAAGGTACTAGATAGATAATATGGTGGATGTTTATACATTCGGGGCCATGATGCTTGTGGCCTATCTCGTGGAAGCCCTTTGATTTCCGGGGCAGACCTTTTCGAACGGTCAGTTTTCTTGTAGGGTAGCTCCTCTTTGCCTCCTGGGGTTGGAGGTTCGCACGGGCCGTTCGTTGGTCGGGCGTGTGGGCATGAATTGTCGTTGCCACATTGTTTCAGACCTTTCAGACCCCCAAAAATGAGTGCATGGTGCTGGTGAATCCGCGTGTGCTTTTGGATCCTGCCCTCAGAAGCCAGAAAAAACGGGCTTGAAGCCAAATTGAAGCCAGATTGACACTGTAGAAGACAT